CTTGAGAGCAAGGCTAAGGACTCCAGGAATTGATAGTTTAGTCCTTGAAGGTGGTGAGTACATTTTGTGTGTGTGTGTGTGTGTGTGTGTGTGTGTGTGTGTATTATGAAGTCCTAAATAATTATCATCAAAGAAAAAAGATTTCCATGTCCACTATCAATCATCCAAAATGCAAATTATTCTTTCAGTCAGCTAATGCACTACTCTTGATTAGAAAGAAATGTATGGGTCCTGGGACCAAGCACAGTATGAAAGGGGCTGGGGGAAAAGAAAGTAACAAAACAAAACAAGTTGAAATGGAAAGAACTAAGTGGCCTCAAAAAGGCCCAATGACATCCCTGGCTGTAAGAGATCTGAAGATATGCGAGCCCACAACTCCTGCGTTTTTACTCAAAGTAGTTATCAGTCCAAAACACAGAAATGATGTGGTGATCCTGGGCAAGAAACTCATATCTGAGAACTTGAGAATATCATTACAAGTCATTTACCAAAGTGCGGGCAGGATGGTAAGAACTAAGTGTGTAAATGAAAGAGAAGGGAAAGTTCTCTGGATCTAGAGAAGGCCATCACAAAGGCTGACACTCAACATAAGCACGGCCACTGAAGGGAGCTGGAGACTGCAGGTCCTTGCCTTATTCACCTCTCACTCCCTGTTGGCTCAACCCAGCAGAAACTGTGTAAGAAAGCCTGCTGACCCCATCCCTGGGGACCCCACATGGCTAATAATGGGAAAGAAGAGACACAAATGGACATAGACTGTGTCAGAGATATAAGGGACATCTCTTCCCTGAGCAGTGAGTAGTCACAGGCACAGCTGGTTCACAGCTGTGCCTCTTTGGAGGGACCCCTCCTAGGACTCTCTCAAACAGCAGGGGTAACCTAAGCCTCTCCCTGTTCCCTGCAGAATTCCTCTACCTAGCTCCAACCATTAGCTGCATATGCAGCTGTGAGTGATGAGCTACATTACGTGACTGGGCAAACACTTGCCATCCTCATAAAAAACAAAACTGTTGGCCCTGACAAGGATACATGAGAAATCTCACCATGTGCTAGGTCCTGGAGGGACTCCTTGGAATGAGTTTTTTGTCCGTAGCTTACACAAAAGCCAAAACCTCCTCAAAGCACACCACTATTCCCCAAAGAGGCCGAGGACCCTGAGAATCAGGCTACTTGGAACTGTCTTTGCTGTTTTTCTTTATCCTGAAAGAGAACTCTCTCAGTGAACAATTCTTGGTCCATTCACACAGTTGGAAGCACTTGAAATCCCTCTCAACTAGAACTGGACAACTGACTTATTAATGAAAGGTACAATTTCCACTGAAGCCAACAGCTTTATTTTATACTCGGAGAGTTTAACTAATAAGAGAAATTCAAAGGAAAGCAGTCAGATGAGAAAGCCAGAACTAGGCATTCAAGGGAGAAAAGCTTGGAGGTGGCAGTGTAGGAGGGAACTGAAGGGAGAAACGGGATAGGATATCTGGTCAAGGCAGGAGCCAGCAGCCTTCAGGCAGCGACTGCCATGGCTTTAACAACATGGAGCCCATCACCTGCATTGTTAACCCTCACAAGTGCAAGGGGTCTTCAGAGGAGGTGTGCTGAGAAGCGGATTGAGATTCATGAAGCAGGGAGTTTGTGCAATGCATGGAGCTTTCAAAGGAGGGCTCTGAAACTTGAGCTTCTTGGTTTGTGATCAGTCAGGTATCTAGCTACCTAGATAATGATGATGATAGATAGATAGATGGATGGATGTATGGATGGATGGATGGATGGATGGATAGATAGATAGATAGATAGATAGATAGATAGATAGATAGATGATACATAGATGGGTAGATAGATGATAGATGATGGATACATAGGTAATGATGGAAGATAGATAGATAGATGATAGATAGATAGATAGATAGATAGATAGATAGATAGATAGATAGATAGATAGATAGATGATACATGAGAGACAGATAATTTCAGGTATTTATAGCTCAAAGAATATGCAAAAATACTGTTGAGCAGTTAATAACGCAAAATTGAAGAAACCCCGCATTCACAGAGAAGGGGGAAATAGGAAACAGAGTTGAGAAAGGGTAAATATGACCAAAATTACTTCCCTAATCACACTATGAGGTGGGGCAAGACTGAGCCATTCTAAAGGCAAATTCTTGTGGGGGGGGAACACCAAGGACTGCTTTGTGAGTCTGTGCCTTGTGGAGGGTGGGAATGAGACACAGGGAGATTAGTGTGTGGTATAAAATGAGCAGCTCTGAGGGGGATGATGGAGAGGTGTGCAAAGGCGCTCATTTCAGCCTTACCCTGAAAAGCCTGTGGGATCCCTGAAACATAATTAAAGTAATCCCTCAATAACAGGACCTGGAAGAGAGGGACGGTCCTCATTTCTTCCGAGTGAGAGAGGCGTCTTTGAGGATGTCCATGGAAAGCACCCCTTGGGATGACTAAAATGGCAAAGCTGCACGTTGGCAAATCAGGGTGTTGGGGAAGTTCTCCTTGGAGGGCAGTTCTGGGGAATGGAGTCAGTCACAGGTTCAGTGCCCGAGTGGCACTCCGGGAGGGTGCTTACCACATTACCTGGCATGAAGCATTAGCTACTATTAAAGTCTGTGGGGAAAAAAAAGATACTTTTTCCATAAAATTATACTTTGGGAAACAAGGAATACTAAGAGACTCAACTTCTGCTTCAGTCGTCTATTGCTGAATACCAATATATTGGCCCAAAGCAGAAACCCGTATATAACGTAGGAAGATTTTGTGGGTCAGGGATCTAGTCTCATTGGGAGCACTGACCTGATGCAGGAGTGTCACTCACAGGTCATTGGGCTTTGTCAAGGACACGTCGAAGGCTGAGATCATTAGGACTGGTAAAAGGTGTCTGAGATGGTGTAACAAGCCTAGGTCAGGTGGCTCAAGTTCTGAGAGAGAGAGAGAGAGAGACAGAGACAGAGACAGAGACAGAGACAGAGAAAGTAGTGAAATTCTGTGACCTGGATCCAGAAGTCTGGGACATCAGTTTTACCTTAGTCACTCAGTCAAGCAAGTCAGTGAGGACAGCCCGGATTCGGAGGAAGAGATAAGACTACATTCAATGAGAAGAGCAGCCAAGACTTCATAGCCTACACACAGAAACGTAAGGCACCGTCTCCAGACTGCTCAGCAGCGTCACTTGGAATACAGCTGTAATCTGTGGAGCTCTGGTTCTTAGTAGGATATTTCTTTCTGCTGCCAAATGTCTCACCTGGATATTTGCCTTAACGGCACAGACCGGCTGGCCAATGGGGAGTTCTCACATTTCGGGTTCTACATGCCAGTCGCTTCAGAAAGGCTCACCTACAGCATGAGTCTAGCTGGCGTGGGCTAAAGTGTCACTGAAGCCCTCCATTTGGTAACAGAAGGTCTTTCCTTTCTTATCCACCTTCCCCATCTTCAGTCTCCCTGGATTTATGACAATAAACCCTGGAGAGAGCTGGAGAGAGCTGTGACAAAATGACTCCAAATCTGTGAGCCAGTGATGACCAGAGTTTGTAAGCCTTGGAGTGTTTCCAGAAATAGTTTCCTTATTGTCACAGGTGTTGGGAATCCCCAGTGGCTAGATGCTCTCGTTTGAGTCTCGCAGGGAAGCTATTCCCTCCCTGTTTTGTAGCTGAAGAAATGACTTGACCAAGGTCTCTAGGCTGTTGGAAGGCAGTTCCGGTCTGGGGCTCTGACTCCACTTCTCTACCAACTGTTCTTTCAAACCCTGCTGCTTTGAGAAAGTTCGTAGGTTTGGAGAAGAACCACCATCATCTCACATCAGAGCAAAAAGCAGAGTCATCAAGTGTAATTCCACACGGGTGAAATTTTGTCTCTCTCTGCATCTTTCTCGTCTGAAGTTTCCTCTTGTCTTTCTGAAGAATTTGTAGAAACAGCACTCCACATCTGACTGTCTCAAAATAAATGCTTTTTCATTTATCCCAGAATAAATGGTGTTCGTCGTACTGAGCGGGGGCATCGTGGTTTTGATTTTCAAAGTACTTTGCCAGCATCAGCACATTAAACCTCCTCTGGAGTCTTCAGTATGGTGGTGGCTTTCAAAGCAGCTCTGGATTCCTAATACAGTTTTCCACATCTTTACACAAATCAGCACATTCAAATAAGATGCTACAGGCCATGAAATTGCCCCCCATCAATATGTGACAGATACAGTAACCTCGATGAGGTAACATGCCCAGTGACTTATCTAAAGGACAAAGAACATACTAGAACTATCTCCTGTACTTTAATATGGGACAAGCAGATATTTACACATAGCTTACTAGTAGGGTGTCATCTCAGGTAGTTTTTACATTGTACTAAACATAAAATCTTGAAGTAGAGAAAAAGGGAAATGCATTTTTCAATGATTCTTTACAATTAGCATTCACTGAGAGAATAAAATATTTTTGGACTATCTTCAATCATAGCTTTATCTTCTGCACTCCCGATAAGTTTACTTCTTATTTACTTGAAATTTATCTTGTTCTTGCTCTTAAATCCATATATGAAACATTTTTATTTATTTAAGCTTTTATCATTTGGGAATTTCACACATGAGTACTGTATTTACATTATTTCTGCCCCTTCCTCTTCCTCTTTTGTTTCCCCTTCTCTAGTAAAACATGTATTTTTGATACAATAGTCAAAATATCTTTTAGAGAAAAGAGCATCTGGGGGTTGTGGAATGTATAGGGTTACCTTTGGTTTCATGATGAAACATTACAGTTGGAGCAGTGCTGGAGATCCCCTGGAAGCTTGTGTCTTTTCTTGCTGTAAGTGGAAACATATGAAAGACAGTTTTTATAGGAATAAGACAAGATAAGAACTGAAATAAGTCTGTCCGATCAGATGTGGGAGACTGATAAATTGATTGTCACTTCTACAGTAGACAATAACCACTAGCATTTGTGAAATCATCTGGTAATCTTCCCAGTGGAAGCCCCCACAATCATTGATGCTGTCTCCTTGGTTCACAGGTCCAGACAACATGAAGGCTGCACTTTTCTTCCTGTACATCCTGGGAACTGCAGCTGCAATCCCGGTAAATGCCCCCTTCTGTGTTATGTTTCTCTCTTTTGCCTCTGCTTTTGGAGGAAAATGTTCTTTCTTTTTCTTTTTTTTTTTTTTACACTTTTCATTATATATTTATATTAGAAACAAGCTTGCTTCCCATGTCAGTCTCAGCTCCCTCTCCCTCCCCTCCACGCCTACTCCCTCCCCCCAGCCCCCCCTAACCCCCCACCCAATCCCCACTCCATTCCCCAGGGAGGGTGAGGCCCTCCATGGGGGATCTCTAGAGTCTGTCATTTCGTTCCGGGAAGGGCCCAGGCCCTCCCCAAAGTGTCCAAATTGAGAAAGCATCCCTCATTGTGGGATGGGTCCCCAAAGTCCATTTGTGTGCCAGGGAAAAATACTGATCTACTACCCAAAAACCTCATAGATTGCCTGAGTCTCCTCACTGACACCCACATTTCAGGGGATCTGGATCAGTTCCATTCTGGCCTCTCAGCCATCAGTCTGAGGTCCAAGATCTTCCTCCCTTGTTCAGGTCAGCTGTTTCTCTGGGTTTCACTAGCCTAGTCTTGACCCCTTTGCTCATCACTCCTCCCTCTCTGTCACTGGATTCCAGGAGTTCAGTTCAGTGTTTAGCTGTGGGTGTCTGCCTCTGCTTCTGTCTGTCACTGGATGGAGGTTCTAGGATGGTATGTAAGATAGTCGTCAAAATCATTATCAGGGAAGGTCATTTAAAGTAGTCTCTCCATTACTGCTTAGTTTGCCAGTTGGTGTCATCCTTGTAGATCTCTGGAGATCTCACTAGTGCCAGATCTCCCCTCAAACCTAGAATGACTCCCTCTACTATGGTATCTCTCATCCTGCTCTCCTCTATTCTTCCCCCAACTCAACCTTCCTGCTCCCCCATGTCCTCCTTTCCCTTTCTCTTCTCTTCCTCTCTTTTTCCTGGCTTCCTTTCCCCTCCCCCACCCTGTGCTCCTAATATGCTCAGGAGATCTTGCCTCATTCCACCTTCTCTGGGGTACCATGTATATCTCTCTTAGGGTCCTTCCTGTTTCCCTGTCTCTCTGGCAGTGGGATTTTAAACTGGCACTCCCCTGATTCATGTCTGAAATCCATATATGAGTGAGTACATACCATGTTTGTCTTTTTATGGCGAAAGAAAATGTTCTTGACTTGAGGCACTGAAGCAGGAAGAGCCATGTCAAATTCCAGTTTAGCCAAAAAAGACCCAGTCCCAAGAAAAGGCACCCCCACCAAAAAGAGTTCTTCTAGGATAGCTTTTGATTCGTTTTAATTCCAATTGCATTCCTTCTTGACCAAGAAATAAATGCATAAGTAAAAGGGAAAAAAAGATAATATACTTTAAAACAGTTCTACAAACAATAAAGTAAAATGAATATGCAGCAAAAAATTCTGACTATCATCTTATTAGACAGGTTGTACCCAAACAAATGGCCAGGGAGAAATAAATCAGCTTGCAGATGTGTGAAAGAATGAAGAATTTAACATGTATTGCACAACCAGTCTCCTCCTTTATTTTCTTCGAGATCAAATGGCATGCTATCTGTTTTCTCAGACTGAGACTCTCCCCTACAATATTGACAGCAGGGATCAGTGTAGTAGGACCACAGGTGCTATGGGAAGCTGCTGCGCCCGCTGTACAGCCTGTATCCGAGAATGTGGCGAGTGTGTCGGGATTGATGACACAGAGACCAGTCGGTTGCACTAAGAAAACTTTATGCTCCCCAAGAAGGCTCAAGAGAACTTCCCAAGAAACACTTCCCTCCAGAAAAGCTTCTGCCATCCACATACACAGACACATATACTTCCTCCTCCTGGCTGGTGGTTATATCCCTGACACCAGAATCTGCAGTAGCAGCAGGGGGCAGGAAGAGGCCACTAGCCATTGGAAAGATCAAAGTCAGGGTGTTTCAGTGAGGGAGCCCTTATCAGGAACTTATAGCTCCGGTAAACATTTCGTAGGGCACTGGATTGTTTTCAGTAAAAATGTTTTCAGTAAACATTGTCTTACAGCTGCCTGCTCCCAAGCTGATGGGGAAGTGGGTCTCCGGCCAAGGTCTGTTGTTCCCACAGGAAGCAATGGTTGCAACCTCATCTTTAGGATGTCTGAGAAAGTATGCTGTAGGTAGGCATGACTAGGGCATCCTCTACTTTACAGTCAGGCACATTCACCCACCACCATCTACAAGTAAAACCACTACATGCAAGTCATATTCCTGGAGGCCAAGTCAGCACCCTCAGCACTACTGAAAGATTTCCATGGCCTTGTGGAGGAACCAACGTCCTTTAAATAAATAGCATTGCCCCTTCTTCTCTAGTCTGATTCTATCATTCCTTTTAGATGAATGGGAGATAGTTCCAGATAGCTGTATTGACAAAAACAAACTCCATGCCAGCCTGATCGAGCAGTTCATAGAAAGAAAGAATTAATGACAAACACTAAGAATCATGCTGTACATTAACTCATGTGGAGCAGTCCAGCTGATGCTCCACATTGAAATTAGAGAAGCAGAACAAATTAGAAGAAAACAGAGTTCCCACAAAATCATTGCTTTTTCCTGAAAATTCGTTTTCCCTTTGGAATGGTCATGGTTTCAGCTTTGTAAACAGACATCCAGAATCTTTGAACCAAATGTTTGATGATACTCCCACATATAGACACAAGCCAGATGTTTCCTTTCTGGGACAATTTATTATAAGCAGTCCCAGCCTGATGCTGAAAAGCTAAATGTCTTCTCAAAAGTCTGGCCAGCGTAAAAATCCTACAGCATTTTCCAACCCTGGTTGTGTTCTTCAACAACTAATTGTTTCTGTGTGGCCGAGAGATCCCAAGCAGACTCTCAAGAGGGCATGAGAAATAAACATAGATGTGGGTATAATGATGAAATAGATTTTAATTACCATATAATCCTGAAGGAGAATGAGTTGCCGCCCTAGTGTGCATTCCTTAGAGACAGGAGGAACAAGAAGGTGCAGGAGAGAAATAGGACAGGAGAACATTCAGCGACAAGGCCAACCTCCCCTCCATGACGTCCTGCAGCGGAAGGGACTTACCAAAGCAGGTTCCATTTCTCCTTTTCCTCTTCCCAGGGCTCCTTTCCAATCATTTTCAGTGTTGATCCTTTTGGTTGAGAAGGAGGTGAGATGCAAGATAGCAAACAGAACATAACAGATCCTGTAGCCACCTGGCTTACTTTACAGACACTGTCAGCACTACAGGGCCTGCTGGTGGATGAGAAGACACTGTCCAAATAGAACCTGGGCTCTACACTTAGGTTCACCACATTCCCACAGGATCTCCATCTATGATACAGGCAAACATCTGCTTTAGACACTGGCAGTTCATGAACCATCACTGTCAGGAGGAGTAGTTGCAACTTGGGAACTCATTGAAATTTACAAAGTAGCTTATGTCCATTGCTCAGTCTCTGTGTTTCTGCTCACTTTTCCAGAGGAGGTGGAAGGATAGAAGACAGCGACTTTCCCAGCCACAGTAGATATCAAAAAACATGCAAGGCTTGAGGGAGATTTCCCTTCAAGTCTAGTGACTCAACTTCCCTTTTGTGCATCGCTGCCCTGCTCTTCATTGACATCTCTAAGCTTGTATGAAGCCATTGCTCTTGCTAAAATCAGGGTCCTCAGGGGCTACTCCCTACCAGGCTCCATGCCCTGTCTCACATTGGTTCTAAATTAAATCGATTATTTAGTAAAAGATGTCCTGATGTCTGTTGAAGCCAATGGGACCAAGAAAATAAATAAGTATTTAGCAAAAATCTTACAGTCTTTTCTGCTAATAATCAATAAGAACTTAAAAGCAGCCAAGGTGCTATATAGTGCTATATCCTGGGGTTAAATTTTTTTCTCCAACTTTGTGTTAAATAACACCTTTCAACATTATAAAATATGAATGTTTCTGTCAAGGTTTGAAAATTCCAAAAGTCAAGGATAGTCATTATTGAAATGTTTTCTGTTTTATTTTCAGTCTTTGTATATATATAACCTTTCATAAATTTGACTCTATTTCTTTCATGTCACAGTATATTGCAGGCATTTGCTTGTAACCTAGAAAATTCTAGAGACTGTTGTTCATTAATGTTATCATTAATGATTCCAGTAGTGGTGATAATGACAAAATAACTCATATTTTTATGTTGGCATCTGTATATTAATAACACAAAGTCTTCATTTTTCAGACAAATGCAAGATTTCTCTCTGATCATTCCAACCCAACTACTGCAACATTGGTGACACCCGACAATTCTGAAGCCCCCAGTGCTGGAGTTGAGGTGGCAGCAGACATAGAAAACCATGCCAATGATGAGGTAAAAGTAATCCTCATATTAGTGTCATCTTTTTATTTCTCCAGAGAATCCAGTACCAAAGCATGCTTAAAGTTTAATATATTCATTTATCAGTTTAATTTTGTAAGTACAATAGTCACATGAACTATTCTCCAAATACGAGAAGTTATGGTGACTAATGAGTAGTGAAGTGCTATACAAAGCATTTCATTTTACAAAATTTAGACTGGGGGAAAAACACAAATATATTTACATGATGATGTGTAGAGGAAAAAAAGAAAGAATGTTTAATGTTAGCTTTGTAGTGGTAAATACAAATGCCATGTCATTTGTTTCAAGAATAAACTTTTGTTCTTAAGGCTGAAAAACCTTCAGCACCGAACTCAGAAGAGGAAACCCATGTACAGTCAACAGAACAGGACAAAACCTACAGCCATGAGGTGGACCTGAAGGATGAGGAGGATGGCGATGGTGATTTGAGCGTGAATTTGGAATATTCACCAACGGAAGGAACGATGGATGTACAAGAAGGCACAAGTGAACCTCCACAGAGAAAGCTCCTAGAGAACACCGATCTCCCTGCTATTGCTTCTACTTCCTTTGCGGATTCTAACCAACGTGAGAACACCACGAAGGAGGAGGGAAGCCAAGAGCAACCTGTAGGTGCCTCGAACCAGCAACTGAACAAGAGCAGTAAGCATAACCAAGACTTAGTGGATGAAGAAAGCCAGGAACAAGATCCAGGTGCTCCCAATGAAGAAGAGGAAGAAGAACCAGGAGATGAAGAAGAGGAAGATGAGCCAGGAGATGCTGATGCTCCCAATGATAACCAAGAAAGGGAAAAAGAACCTCCCAAGGAGCAGCCTATCAGCAAGCAGGAAGGGGACAGTGACCAATCTGACGATACCTTACAAGAGTCCAGTCAACCAACTCCAATAAGCAAGATGCAGAAGAATGGATTTGAGCAAGGAAACCAAGGGCAAGAAGGCAACTCCAATGCAGAAGGAGAGGACGACAAGATGGCAAGCAGCAAGAAGCACATTCAGCACACAGAGTGGCAGGGCCAAGAAGGAAAAGCTGGCCTTGAGGCTACTGGTGACCAAAAGGACATGGATGAAAAGACAGTTTCCACAGAACCTACTGATGATGGTGCCATAGTGACTAGGAATCATGGAGCCCATGATAATGGGGGCAGTGATGACGCTAAGCATGGTACAAGTGATGACTCTTTCATCCCAAGCCAAGAATCCCTAGAGGCTGGAAAGACACATTCCCTTTCCTATTACCTCAAACATGTTGAGGAAGCCGCAGATGAGAATGAAAACATAGATAAAAGCGAGGCTGGAGATGACCAAGGGGTAAGATTATTTACAACGATACTTGTCCAATCAATTAGCCAAGAAATAGTCACAATTGCTCTGTATACTCTCTCACCCTGCTGTGTGTGCGTCTAGCAGTAAAGTACAGGGCAGGCTGAGCATCCCTCATTTGAAGTGACAGACCAAAAGCATTGCAATTTTGTTCAGAATGGAAGATGTGCATATACATAATGAGATATCTTGAAAATAGAATCCTTGTTTAAGCATGAGATTCATTCATTTCACAAACACTCTCTGTGTGTGTTTATAGCGTAAGCATAATTTTATGCAATATTTTTAACATGTCTGTATTTTAACAGTGATCTGTGACATGAGTTCATATGCTAAATCTCACTTTTGGTGCCATGTCTGTGCTCAAACAGTAGCTGGATTTCGGAGAATTTCATATTTCACGTGTTCAGATTATGGATGCTCACCTTGTACTATTATGTATTTGTCTGCCTGTCTCCATCATTAGACTGAGAACATGTTTTATTTGGGCTCCTATTATAAACCAGCCTTCAATTTGAGTGACAGTTATTTAAGAAGTACAAGATACAATGAATATGCCCTCCCACCTCCCCAGGAGGAACTGATTCCATTTGCCCCCCAGCCAGGAGGAACTGAGCCCACTGGGGTGGCAGGTAATCTCAAGTCCCTAGACCTCTCCTTCCACTCTAAGGTAGGAAGTTTCTTACACCTCAGACTCTACAAAGAAAGTTTTAGCAACACCTCCACAGAGGTCACTGATGGACTGCCATCCTTGTGACAGAATCCCAAGACAATGTTATGGGGACAGTGCTTTGGACCCAACTCCAAGGGGGTGATCCTACCTCACATGGAGCAATTCTTGCTCTCCAAGTGTCACTGTCTCCCTCTGCAGTTGCAGGGTTTTCCCTATTAAGAGCTGAACATGCACAGCTCAGTGAGTGACTGTATGCACAGCTCAGTGATACTATGCACAGCTCAGTAAGTGTATTCAGAGCTCTGTGACTATATGCACATTAAGACAGAAAGCAAATCACTGATCCTTGATAACATTGAAATTCTGCTCCTGTTGTTTTCAAAGGCCAAGAAAGTCAAGAGCTTGCCAAATGTTGGACCTTCAGATGAGGGCAACTCGAGGGGGCACAGTGCTGGTGAGTGGAAGCCATGAAATCTGCACCAGGTCCAGGGAGGGGTAGAATCTGTCATTTGGGCTAGCACCCCCTTCCATTATGATCCATAAATCCACATCCCCAGCCTCCCCAAGGAAATATCTCATAAAGTGTGGGCATTGCTTATACGTGTTTGATAATGTGCTGACAAACTGAAAGTCCTGTTGAGATTTTACCAAAAGCTATCTCCACCCTCCCCACAGCCCCAACACCACTCTCAGTTCTGGAAAAGATTGATTCTGTCGCTTACTCTCAAGTCCATCCTACCCCAACCACAAACATCTTTAATTTCAACAAAATTACATTCTCCTGGCTTAACTTCTGACCTCTTTCCACACTGTTTTATGCACTTCAGATTCTGAATGTCTTAGGCAGTGTCAGGAAGAGCTGTTGTCCTCTTCAGCTCCAATGCACACGGAGTCCATCTGCAGACTAACGCCAGTTAAAAAGCTTCCCAGCATCTTCCTGCTTTCATATTTTCAGGATCTGGTGCCTGAAGGAGAAGCTAACTGTCTGGCTGACTCCGTGTTTAGCACACAATTTCTCCTTGTCTACATTCTCTTTCCACTCTTCCCTGTTAGATTCTTGCATGAACTTCCAGTGTAAAAGGGGACACACTTGCGAAGCCGATCAGCAGGGGAAACCCCACTGCGTTTGCCAAGATCCAGAGACCTGTCCCCCTGCAAAGACCCTTGACCAAGTAAGTATTCTGCTGAACAGTCCTCGAGATACACCAAAACTTGAGAGTGGAAATAGTTTGCAATTGAATCCTTTTTTAACTGGGTGCACGAGTTATCTACTATTTGAGGTTATATTGAGTGAGAGCAGATATCAGAGAAATCAAAGTGTTTTTATTGTGCCACAAAAATGTAATAGTGGGGTTGAGGAGATGGCTCAGTGGGTAAAGCCTCCTGTGCAGGTCTAAGGATGGGAGTTTGGATGCAGCACCCACATAAATGCTAGGTGGGAGTGTCTGTGTCCTTGTAACTCCAGTACACTCGGAAGGCAGAGGTGGAGATTGCTGGATCAAGCTGACTATTGGTATAGATGAACTCTGGGTTCAACTGAGAGATACCGCCTCAGCAATAAGGTGGTGAGAGATCAGAGAAGACTCCCGACATCAATCCCAGCTCCCTCACACGCATACATGTATGTACATAATGGGTGTACATATACAGAAACACAGACTACAGTGTGTACACTGCACCCGTAACACATAAAATATTTTTAAAATTTAAAAGATAGTGAGCAGGCAAACTTTTAAACTCATTCTATCCTGGGGACGTTCACAATTACAGTTCTTTGGAGATCTATCTACTGTCATCATGGGTTTAACTTAGTAGACTTTTTTCTTGGTGCCAAATCAGAGCACATCTTTCGCACAGCACACTTACCAGACATTCTGTGAGTCCCAGGGAAGGGTTTTCCAGAGAGTATTCGGTTCCATCACTTCTCCTTGTTTCCTTTTCCTAGGTTTGTGGCACTGACAACCAGACCTACGCCAGCTCCTGTCACCTGTTTGCTACCAAGTGCAGGCTGGAAGGAACCAAAAGGGGACACCAACTACAGCTGGATTATTTTGGAGCTTGCAAATGTAAGACACTGACCACTACTGCCAAACATCATTTCTGTGTGGACTTAGGGTGATTTTTGTGCCCCTCTCTATACACAAACAGAACAGTTTATATTGACTTCAGTTATGAAGTCAATCTGAAACAAAAAGCAACTCAGGAATTCCCAGGCCTTAGTCATGGGAGATTCTGACCCCATGAGACTGTTTTGGAACCATAGTTTTTTTCTACTATTTGTTTTTCAAGAAATCTAAACAATTCTAAATCTCCCTGCTGAGTTCAGAGTCACCATTGCAATATGCACTTCATATAGATATGGAAGACCGGGGTTTTCTGAATTACTTACCTTCCTACCAATTTCACTTAAGTCTTTGCCAAGAATTTTATAGCAGTAGATTCTTCCAGAAGTTGTTTAACATCATCTTTCTGCCCCCAGGATTTTCTCAGTTGTGTCTGGCTCCTCTTGGTAGATAAGTAGTCCCACGCTAGGATCTCCCCCTTGTGTTTCTGCTTCTCCGAAGTTTCTACACATGCATACACACAAGATATTAAGTGTTACTGTTTGACTTTCTCTGTCTGGTAACGGGCACAAAATCATCCATGTACATTCTGGGCAAAAGCCCATGAAGGCTGGAACGTTACTGTGTTCTCTCAGTTTGTGCTGCAGTAGCCACGATGTCAAGGCCCAGGGAGCCAGTGATGAGCTGAGCCCTCTTGGCAGCTGGTGTTTGATGTGAGGCCTTCCTGAAACAAGTGTGCAGAGATGTCACATGATCTGCTACTGCATGGCTTTTCCCTGTGCTGCTAACTAACAACCTGCATGCCCTCCACTTCCAAATTCCTGGTCCCTGACTTTGCAACCCTTTACTGCATGGCAGAATTACTCGGGGGCGGGGGGCGGGGGCAGGAGAGGGGATCTCTTAAGACATCCTGATGCCCAAGTCCCACCACAAAATCATCAGGATTTTCTTTCCATAGAGATTGTCGTCTGCTAGGCATAGTAATGTGAGTCTATCATTTTGGAACTTGGTACGGTGAGGCAGGAGGATCACAAAAAGATACCCAACAACTTTGACATTTTATTGGTATGTTTTTAAGACACCCCAGGAAAGTCTACTGTGATGCCAGGGGTAAGGACCACCATAAGGAGAAAGTAGGACTTGTTATTTGCAGTGTGGTTGGTCACCTTGTGTTTTCTGCTTACCCCAGCTATTCCTCCTTGTACGGACTTTGAAGTGACTCAGTTTCCCCTGCGGATGAGAGACTGGCTCAAAAATATCCTGATGCAGCTTTACGAACCGAATCCCAAACATGATGGCTATCTAAATGAAAAGCAGAGAAGCAAAGTAAGCTCCAAGCTCTGCTACCTGAGTGTCTGTACGTAGGACCTGAGCAGGGAGGTGTGGCAAGACATGTTCTGCTACCTGAGTGTCTGTCTGTCTGTCTGCAAGATCCAAGGGGGGAGGTATGGCGAGAGCGCCCTGCCTCGCACAGCAGCAAAAGTTTGCACAGCAGCAGAAGTCTGCCCAGCTTTTCTGCATCTGATTAGCCTGCATGCATTAACAGTCTATAGTGGTCACCATCAATGCCACAACTTCCATAATACAGACAACTGCCCACATTCTGCTCAAGGGAAGGTAGCCTGGAAAGTGTTCCTTAAGTTGCATCTACAGAAAGCTATGATCAAGCAAAGTTAACAAATACAGCATTTATATGATCAGCTTTCCATAACAGTAACAAATACCCCAGATAATACAACTTAAAGAAGAAAGTCTCTTGGATCACAATTTTTGGAAGTTCTAGTCTGTGACCGATGTTAGCTGTGTTGCTTTGGGCCTATGTTGAGGTAGTACATGTGGCAAGGAATATTCACTTCATAGTGGACCAAGGAACAAATTAAAAAGAAGAGGTGCTGGGCTCCCCACATCCCCTTCAAGGGCATGCCCCCATATGACCAGAAAACTCCAACTCAGCCCTATCTCTAAAAGGTTCCACCATCTCCCATTGGTGCCTCCCTCCCTCCCTCCCTTCCCCTTCCTCTCTCTTTTTTTGTTTGAAAACAACTCAGCAAAATAACATTTCAGTTTATTGCTAGACGTTTCACACACATGAACTTACTTTAGTATAGTAATCTGTCTCCTTGCCTTGAATGTAAACCTTTTAAGGTGGAAGTTGTATGTCTGTTGCTGTATCTCTAGAGTATAGAGGGAGGGAGGGAGGGAGGGAGGGAGGGAGGGAGGGAGGGAGGGAGGGAGGGAGGGAGGGAGGGAGGGAGGGAAAGCAAAAGAAAGGAGAAGGGAAGAGAAAGGAAGGAAATGGAAGGAGAGAGGAGGGGAGGGAAAGGAAGGAGGGGAGGGGAGAGGAGGGAAGGGAAGGGAGGCTGTATTGATTAGAATCCATTTCTCTGGGTCAGAGTTCATGTCCTGGACAGATTTTTCTCTGTCATCTTGTTATCCTTCAAAGAGTTGACAAGTGACAATACCAAGACACTTTCCTGACACTCTAACAGCCTTCTGATTTCTTAATCTCAGGTCAAGAAAATTTACCTGGATGAAAAAAGGCTCTTGGCAGGAGACCATCCCATTGAACTCCTCTTGAGGGACTTCAAGAAAAATTACCACATGTATGTGTACCCTGTGCACTGGCAATTTAATGAGCTGGACCAACACCCTGCGGACAGGTGAAGACCCTTTACCTCCCACTCCCAGGACACTTCCTGGTAATGATATCTATGTGAAATAGAACTCCAGACACGACTGGGATTGTTTCCAGCTTCATTTTCAAATACTAAGTACAAACCATTGTCGTGGTTAGGAATCTAATCAAAACTCACTAAGAAACTAATTAAAGATGGTAACAGCACAGTGTCTGAATTACCACACTGAGTTTACTAATTAAACCTGTTTCTCACAGAGATGTTCTCTATTCTCATTCTTGAACTAAATCCACAGGGTAATCTAATTGGCTCAACTTAGGTCAAGTACCACCTCTGGGACCATTCCAGACTGGCCAGTGAGTAAGAGCCTGTTTACTCAAGGCCGACTTCCAGGTGAACATATAGAGATTGGGATAGGATGTACAATTCTCACAAAGAGGCAAGCCTTGGGTACCACAGCCCATCCTTGCCTGCAGCTTTTCACTGTGTGGTTCACTTGGATACACAGTGACCCTGAGGAGGGAAATGTCCTTGGTGATGGAGACTTAAGTCCCTCATTCAGAAGCCACACAGTTAGCAGACTGTCATTGTTCTCTTGCAGAATCTTGACACATTCCGAACTTGCTCCTCTGCGAGCTTCCCTGGTACCCATGGAGCACTGCATAACCCGCTTCTTTGAGGAGTGCGACCCCAACAAGGATAAGCATATCACCTTGAAGGAATGGGGTCACTGCTTTGGGATTAAAGAAGGTAAGTTCATTACCAAAGAACAATGTCTACTTTTTCAGATAAATGCTGAGTCCTGTGGCCTAATATCAAGAGTGTGTGTGTGTGTGTGTGTGTGTGTGTGTGTGTGTGTGTGTGAACTCGTGTGCATGTGTGCACTTTGCCCTTTAATCCTAGAACTCAGGAGACACAGGTTGGTAGATCTATGTGTGTTCCCGGCCAGCTAGGGCTATGTAGGAAAACCTTGTCTCAAAACAGTAACAATAATAGCAAGGCAGGAAAAGCCTGAGTAACAATACTGAGGTTGTCTTCTGGCCTCCATTCACATATGCATGTGTACCCAGAACACATGTATACCCATGCACACATGTACACCTGCACACAAACATACACACACAACAGATGCTTTATGGACACATTTAAAAACACATACAGATGAGCAAACAGTCTAACACTAAGAACAGTAAGGTTGGCAAAGGTCAGACTTGCTCTCACGAGTTATATGTGTGACTTCACCTTAAAATTCTTCACCATGCTGATGTACCATGGCTTGGAATTGGCAAGACCTGAGAGTGTCGGGACCGAGCCCTTTAGTGTTCAGCAGAAGGACGACCCTGCTGCTCTCAACAGTTCTGTGGGAATGAACACCAATGATGAGCCTGTTTCAGAGAGCACTTCCTCTTCTGCCTTAGTTGCTCTACGACATAGCAAACCGACCCCAGATGGGCAGGATGTTAACCTGATTAGCTAATGTTAACCTGTTTGCCAGGATCAGGAGAATGGGAGTCCCTTTCCTGGGCAGGTCTGGCATAGGGTCATGTGACCAATCTGTTAGCTAGGTGTAGAGGTTGCCTGCAGGATCTGCTTCTAAGATCTGTCACTTGGTTGTTTGAAAGTGGCTTCAGTCCCCCACCCTGTGGTAGCCACCTACCCTTAGAAACCCGAGGCTGAAGTCCACCTCATTCTGCCATGTTCTGCTGGTCACACAACCCTGCTCTCACATGGGGAACACGGGCCAAGGGAGGGGGAGGATCACTGGACGTCACTTTGGAAACTGGATTTCATTAGTGCTCAAAAGACATGAACAAGCTGTCAGACCAAGACTGATACAAAAAGATCGATTCCCTTTCTAACACCTATTCTCCAAGCAGAGTATTTATAGAGGTATCCCCCAAATGGTTAAGCCTGTCTTTTCAACTCCCTGCTGAAGACAGAGCATCCCCCAGTGCAGCTGAGCCCACTATTATCAACACGAGGAACACAGCTGGGCCGGAGCATTTTCATTGACATCTCCTTACAGGACTTGGGGTTTTAAAGACTGATAAAAAGGCAAAGCTGAGTAAAGGCCATTTACTTAAGGAAAAAGAGTTTTTCTTCTTCTCTGTTTCCTTTGCAAAATGTCTGACAATTCTTCCACAGAAGGCTATCCAGGCTCTGCACTGGGAGGAGCGAGAAAGGTCCAAGTCCAGTGACTTGCAAAGCTCCTAATGGTCTTGTTTGTCACTGTGGTCTGGCTGGCGTTATGCTATTTTGAAGCTGGGAGAGAATTATCACATACTAAGCCAATAAGGCGGTCGTTAAATGTTCAGTTAGAGTAAGTAAACAAGTTGTCACTTTGGGATACGGCGGGGCAAGGCAAAGAGAGAATGACAACTTTTTTTTTTTTTTTTTTTTTTTTTGGTTTTTCCAGACAGGGTTTCTCTGTGGCTTTGGAGGCTGTCCTGGAACTCACTTTGTAGACCAGGCTGGCCTCGAACTCACAGAGATCCGCCTGCCTCTGCCTCCCAAGTGCTGGGATTAAAGGCGTGCGCCACCAACACCCGGCAAGAATGACAACTCGTTATGAATGTGCTTACTTCCCCATGAATGCTAGTAAGAGCAGAGGAGAAGATAAACTTTACCAGCATTTTCCTGAATTTCAACCGCCTGTGACCTGAACCAGCTATGTTCTAACGGCACAGCCTGCCATTAGCCAGCTCCAGGCATGCCTCTTGCCCTCGGTCACTCTTGTCTTTAGCTCAATAATAAGGCTCAGAGACGTGACAGGAGGGTCTTAGTGATGATGGCACACTGTGTGCTTCAGTTAATACACCATGACCAACAGCAGCGTGGGGAGAAGAGGGTTTATTTCATCTTACAGCTCTCAGGTCACATTCATCACTGGAAGAAGTCAGGGCAGGAACCTGGAGGCAGGAACTGATGCAGAGGCCATGGAGGGTGCTGCTTACCGGCTTGCTCCCCATGGTTCTCTCAGCCTGCTTGCTTTCTTCACATGCCCGGAGGCGGAGGCCACCACTCACAGTGGGCTGAGTCCTGCAGGAATCACCAATCAAGAAGATGCCCCATGGGCTTGTCTACGGGCTGCTCTGATGGGAGCATTTTTCTCAACTGAGGGTCACTCTTTTCAGATGGCTCCAGCCTGTGTCTGGCTGACAAAAACCCCACCAATACACCACTTACTATGTCTACTCATATCACTCTTAGAGAAAGCATTCCAAGTGAAACTTCTGGGACAAGCCAGACCACACAGGGTCTCCTGAGCCCTTTAAAGACTTTACTCTAGGAGTGCTGGGGTGTCATCAAACCAGAGTCCTGTGGTTACACTGCAGAGCGAGTACAGAATGGCTGAAGATGCTGTGGTAAATCCAAGACTTGATAAGATCCTGACTCAGAAGTGATTGTGGGCACAGAAGTGACGCAGTCAAGACATCCTAAAATAGAAGCATACTCACATGGTGTAAGTTTGGGATAAAAGGAGCCAATGGCTGGTAGGAAATACTAGGCAGGGAGCAGACAGCTGAGAGAATCTAGAGGAAGCATAGAGTGTCCCCATTCCTGCCTTGGACCAGGCAAGATAGCTAGGGGCACAATAACAGGAGCAGATTTGGGGCAATGACAAATTCCACGTGGACATGCTGAATTTGAATTACTTACAAGACAAACACAGTTCCTAGCTCAATATATGAGTCATGGTTTCAAGAGTTTGGAAATTGAAATATGCATTTGGAGAGTTATGGATATAATTCAGTGGTAGAATTCTTACCTCACATATGCATGGGCCTGAGTTTAACGTCAGCAAGAGAAAGAGCGATGTGAGCACATGGAGAATAATTGGCATTAAGGAAGGGAATTATTATGTTAAAGAAACTTCATTAAGTTATAGAACGAAACTCTATTGTTAGACACCATGGAATCACACATGTAGATAACACATCCTGGAGAAGGGGTTCAGAAAGGAGAAAGAGCATTCCCCCCAAAAGGAAGGAATGAAAGGAAATTCCATGTCAAAGAAGGTGTTGCATAGGTAAGGGACTATGATGACTGCAAGGAAGACCAAAGGCAAAAGATGCTCAGGTCCACTGATATAGAAATAGGGATGCCCAGGCAGTCCTGGCAAGGCTACCCTGGTCCAGAGTGGTCCAACAGAGGAGGCCGTGTTGTCTGCCATGCAAGCAGCAATGGGTGTTTCTGCAGAAGACTTAGTTCAAAGTTGAACTGAGCTGCTCCTGAACGTCTACCCTTTCTGTGGAGCTTCAGCCACCATTTATACCTGGCACTTGTTGTCCTGGTCCTGCCATCAATAGCCCACCCTTCGCCCTTTGGTGGTTCTCAACTGTACAAAGATTCCAAAAGAACTGCCTAGGTGTCCTCATGATAGCTGCCCTCCCCCAGGGATTCTGATTCCAGAAGTCAGAGGTGAAGCCCAAAGGCATTGCAAAAGTTCCAGCTATGTTGATAGTCGCTACCATGCTGCCTTTTAGATGGTTTCACACATCCACAGCTCTGGCCTTTCTTTGGTTTTGTGGCTTTCCAGGTGACTTTCTAAGAGTGTATCTGTTTATTTATTCATTCGTTCTTGTATTTATTTATTCTTTCTTTCTCTTATTTTTACAGAAGACATAGATGAAAACCTCCTGTTTTGAATTAAGATTTGAAAGAATGGAAACTTCCCACTAGCCTCGCCTGCTTTAACTGCTCCTGAGTACATGCAGCCACGACACTATAGATTCGTAGTTAGCAAAACGTTTGTTTGCATGTAAGAGAAGACAATGACACTAACTGCTTGATAGGGATAGACATGTACCAGGCTTTAACATTACCTTAGGAAATAAAACTTTAAAATTAAGTAGCATCAATATCTACAAAATACTGTACTATCTGGGAACAGTTTAACTCATAGTACTGTTTCTCTGCATCTACTTTTATAATTGATAATTATAAAACGTGAAAATTGTGTTCGTATTGTCCGTAACACCTCATGCATGTTAAGAAAGTGAAAGATTGCTCTTTTGTGGTTACCATGCCTCATTTTCAGTATCCTGATGTCTAATAAAGAGCCAGTAAAGCCTCAATAGCCTGCTCAAGTTTATTTCCAGTTGTTTATTTAAACAATTAGATGTAAAAGACCAACCCAGGGCTTATGTTAGAAATAAAAATGGAATTATGCTTACTTACTGATGGTAATAAAAGGCGCATTTAAAGAAAAGATTGAGACGTTTTCTATAACAAATTGTTACAAACTAATCGGGAATGTCCTTTATCATTATGTAAGTTTTAATGAGGGTGGGGTTAGATTCAATCACTTTTTAGCCAAGTGCAGTTTAAAATGCTGATGATTCTGCATTGTGCTGGCCAGTCAGTTCTAACTTTTTTGCAGTTGCACTTGTGCATCAAAGAGGAGGAGATCTGAAAGAGCCCCGTGTGTCTCGTTTCTCAAAACCAAGTGAAAGGGGCGGATGGTGAGCCATGGGGTGCCCAACATGACGGCCAACGCCGTGAGAGATCAGCACTACTCCCGTGGCCTGATTGTGTCTTATAAGATCTGTCTTTCTAGTTGGGCTTTTCTGTAATGCTAAAAACTAGAGCATAAAAGTGTGACACCACACTGTTTTGCAAAGTATAAAGTGAGGCACCAAAAGTTTCTGGCATCCATTTCATTCCACTTTTATGGTATTCAAAAGAAATGAGAGGTTATGTAGTTTTCTATTGAAATAGAAACTATCAATACAATTATCTTCAATGGTTTTTAACCTTTTATGAGGTCAAAAGGTCCCTCTTTCTTGAACTAAAACCACATTAAACCATATCCTTTCTAGATAATTAGGTTCAATTTGACCAACCAAAGTCTAGTTATTTATGTTTACCAAATAGGAAATTAATTTTAGAGACATTCTAAACTTCAGAATATGTTTATGAATACCAAAACTATCTTAATTAGAAAACAATTTTTAGAAGTTAAGTTTTAGAAACCATGTTTTATAATTATATTAGCAGGTGTCAATTAGGCCTAAATTTTATTTTACTCTCAGGAATCTGTAAAAATTCTTTAAAATAAGGGAAACTGATTTTAATATTAAAGATGCCATCTAAACATTTACAAAACTGTTTATTTGAAAATTATTTTCATTTTGAAGCAAAAATACTAAGAATGGAGATGTTCAGATCTTACCCTGGGTCTAACGACCCTGGGAGACAAAAGTGCTTTCATGTTCTTTGTGGTTAGTTCTTAATGACCAGTTGGTTGTGATAAAGAATCGCTCTGGCCCCAGCCAAGGTGGTGAGCTATCTTCTCAGAATCTGCCCTTAAGCCCATCTCAGTAATTGTGATCTTCCAGAAACTCGAGTCCCTGGTCTGAAGCTAATTGCTCAGTTTAGCCGTGAATGTGTGAGTCATATTGCCCATGACCATGTAGACATTAGTAACACAGCTTAAATACTAGCCAGGTGTAGAGATGCCAGCCCACACTGCTTCCTGAATCTGCTGCTCCGAGGACCATTTGAAGTCCAGGTAATTAAAGCGATATAATTTATGCTGCTCAAAGTATGTGGGATAGTCTTGGGTCTGTAGTTCAATGACTTCTACTATGTCCACTTAACAAAAAGAGAAGGAATATTTAGAGTTTGGATCTGGAAAATATACAGAGGAAAAATATGAAAAAGAAAGGATGAAAGGAAGTTTATGTTCAAGCAAAGTGATACAAACTCAACCAGAGTTGAGTTTAAGTATATTGCAGTAGCTGGCAGATGACTCATGGATGGATGGAATTTGCCTCAGATGCTGGGGACAAATCTTCATGAAGATATGGTGAAGTTGTTCTTTCTCAGCCAAACTCCATAGTACAGCGATGTAGTTTAAAAGGGTGAGCTAGTTCTAAATGAATGTGATTTTACAAACGTGAAGTTTTACTTTAGAACCAACGGGGCAGAGTTGACCTTGTTGAGTTGCTTTACTGAATTTATTCACACTTTGCTTATTCTTCTCAACCCATGATGCCTTGCAAATTTTTCCATTATAATTTCCTTTCTAAGGAGCTGTAATTGTCAACAACAACAATATCTGGGTTATATGGACCGATCAGTCTTGTGCAGGCACAAGCTCCATCTGTACATTCTGGAAAAACTGTTTTCCCCTTTTAGTCAGCAACGCTCCCTTCCCCATTGAACATTAAAGACAAAAAGACCTGTGTCCGGAGATCACCATCTCAAGTCACTTTAAAGGCAGAACAGCTGGCTGTAGGCAGAACTGTAAGCTGTAAGGAAGAGTGGGCTGGCAGGCGGGCACCATAACAAGCTGGAGAATGACTGGTCTAAAAGCATTTAAAGCTTTCTAAAGGTTTTCCGAGCTTAAAAAAATGTGAATCTAGAGGCAAGATTTAGCTTGACCACTGTCAGCATGACTACTTCAACGATCTGTTCACCATGGAAACAGGACGTGGAGATCACCTTATCCCTCACTCCCAGACTCTCTCTTCAGAATGAAGGTTCTCCTCCTGGCCGCCCTGCTGAGCGCTGCCACAGCTCAGCCCATCCCAGTGAGTACTTCTCAGCCCTCAGTCTTCACTGTGAGTCCTCCTATTTCTGGCTAGAAAGCACTCACATCTTTACAGGAGAGGAAAGTGCAGTCCAGGAGTGAAACGGAATCAGCAGTCTCCCTGGGTCTAAGGCTCAGTATGTTGCAAAGCTGTTTCTGGAGGCCTTAGCTAGATGGTGACCTTGGGCAAGGAACTAACTCATGTTTTCCCTGTCCAATGAGTTAGGACAACTCCAGCGTGTAAAAATTATTTACAAAATGGTTCTAAAACACTTACAGCAGAAAGCTCTTGGTCAACTTAGCAATATAATCCAAGTGCTCTACAGGGACCCAGATTGAAATTTAGCCATTGAATTGAGCTCCATTTGTAACACTACCCTATATCATCTAGGGTTTTCTTAAAAGGCTCCTCTCCAAGAAGCTCCAACACCAAGACAGAGGGCGATGTAAGACTACCCACACTAGTTCTAAGTTAATATTAAAAACTTACATCTGAAATATGCAGTTCAGGAGTGTGACAGATCACTAAACATTATGCACAGGCATCTTTACTGCATCATTTTGGAAAACAAGATTTGGGTAACGCCGGGCGTTGGTGGCACATGCCTTTAATCCCAGCACTTGGGAGGCAGAGGCAGGCGGATCTCTGTGAGTTCGAGGCCAGCCTGGTCTACAAGAGCTAGTTCCAGGACAGCCTCCAAAGCCACAGAGAAACCCTGTCTCGGAAAAAAAAAACCCAAAAATAAAAAAATAAAAAATAAATAAATAAAAAGATTTGGGTAACAACCTATGCCCATTTGAAGCATGTCTGGATAACAAACCAGTCTCTTGTACTAAGTCACAGTCGATTCTTGCAACATTAACAAGAACTGTTGTTGTAATGCGTTCTTGGTAGGGGTAGGGCTCAAACCCAGAGTATCGCACATACAAGGCAAATGCTCTTCCAACCACTTACAGCCCCATCCTAGACAAGCATTACTGTCGAAAGTCCCAAAGGAAATGCAAAATGTGTCTCTGTAGGAACACTGCTGATAAGAGGGTTGTGGCATACACATTTCACTAATTTTAGTATGGGCTTTCCTCATCTGTTAGCATCTCTGAAATGAGTATGTGTTTCAGCCACGGTGTGATAACGCATCGTGCCCATTTGACGGGAACATTTGCTGTGCAGTTGATCTGTGAAACAATGGTGCATTTTATGACACCATCACAGAATATGTAAAACACAGTGAGAGCAAACCACCAGCCGCTTTTTGCTGTGCACTGACTACAGCCATGCTTCCCACATCTGAACTAAGGGAGACCTGTAGGAACCATTTATATTTACTGTAGACAGTGCCCAGCACCAGTGATGCATGAAACCCTCTCCATGCACATCTGGCAACAAGGGAGCTTTCAAAGGTTGTGGGGAGATCACAAAATTTAAGTTGACGCCCATACTCTCTTCCTTTGAACATCCACATACTAAAAACAAGTCTAGAATAGTGTTGTTGCTAAATATATCAGAACAAGGCATGTGGTGTATAGTCTTAAGAAAGTAAGAGCATGTTTTTGATATAACTTTAAAGCCAAAGGTGCTTGGTATTGTGAATCACTGAACAAAATTAGCTCTGTTAAATGTATAATTTACTTCAGAGGTGAAGGCACGTGACTGACAGGCATAAAGCTCATGGGCTTTTCAGCCGTTCTCACATAAAACAAAATGTCTTTACTCATAAGGTACGGTGGCCAGCTGCTTCACCTTGTTGCTTTTCTTGTTTTCAAGCTCGGACAATCTGGGGGAAGCTCCAGTGAACAGGTACGCCTGGACTTTCCAATGGACCTTCATATTTAGAAGCTGTGGTTTGCACTCCCAACGATCCACACTGTGTTTCCTTCCGCAGAGATTCAGCTTTTACCCGCCACAAATCCTGCCATTCTTTCCTCAGTTTCCCTTGCAACAGCCTCCTCTGGTAAGCAGGGTGTGGGAAGTCTCAAGTGCATCGGTTGCGTGACGGATGGCTACCAAACTTGCCAGATTTTGGCACAGAAATAGGACACGTTAAAAAGAGAGCTGTCAGCTGTTCACAGTCCGCCCCAAACACAGCTTGTGGTGGGGGCTGGTGACCTACTGGCCTGGCCCTGTGACCTCTTCCCCTGTCCCACCACACCCAGTCCTTGGGTGCTTATGCTGATGACGTTAACCATGAAGAGCCTTAGCTTCCTGAGGCGAGCAGTAGCCTCTGTGACAGCATTCTTTTGCTGTCACTAAAAATTACTTTGTTGCTTTCTTTTCTTTTCTTTTTTTAAAGCGTTTCCTATAACTTTTTCTCAAAAGTCAAACAAACGATTACTTTGCCCTTCTCGGTGACGCCCTCCGTGTCTCCTAATAGTTGAGTTTTTATAGCTGTCTCGGTGAGGACTGGAGAAATACTAAGAGCATGACAGGGCTCTTCTGGTACATGCTCCCAGAGCAAAGGCAAGGCTGGCTAAGCGGAGTCATGCCTGTGGGAGAAGACAGGTCCTGAGCAACAAAAAAAAAATCCTTAGTGCATGAAGTGGGAACTTCCCGCCAGCAGAGGGCAGCCTGCATTCAAAAACAAGCAAGAGTGGCACCTGCGGTAGGGAAATTGATGGGTTTTCAAGAACCATCAACAGAACCTTAGACATTATGGTTAACTAATTAATCAAAATAATTATAACTCCTAAAAGGAAAACAGTGTATCAAACCCAGAGCTCCAGGGGGCAGTGGCCTTATGTATTGCCACCCAGCCCCCAGAGACCTACTGCTGCTCAGCACACACCAAAAGGCTAAAAGGGTGAGGAAATAGAGAAGACGAAACAGCAAAGGAAATCAGGTATGGCTCGATTCACTCACAACTCATCTTTTCTTTTTCCCTTTTCGTAGATTCCAATTCCTTTTCCCTTCCCTTTTAATCCGAATCAGGTAAATACACTTAAAACTTCCTTTAAGAAGATATGACTAAAAATTAAAACGTGTTTTGAGTTAAAGAATGTAATGTAGAATCCCACATGTCTGAAAGCTCATGTGCTTACACTGTGACCATGTGGAAACCACGGGCCCAGTAGCACTAACAGGAGGGGAACATCTGGAGGAGCAGATGTGCCTGCTCTTAAGCCTCTGTAGGGGAACGGGACACTAACGTCATTCCACCTGTAGGCTGTCACACTTACATTTGCAGGGATATGACAGCTGTCCTAGACGCTCTGTTTAAGGTTAGGGACAGAGTACAAACAGTGTGTTTACCTTGTGTTCTGTTAACAAGGTTTTCCTGAAGTAGGGATAATTATTTGCAAGATGATAGGTTCAGCTCCGAACCAAAACACAAGCTGTGTCTACTATACCATAGTATAGTTTGATTGTTGAATGCTAGTGAAATTGTGAAGAACCATCAGCTCTTTTTCATGATGAGCTTCTCCTAAGTATAATGTAGTGAGCTTGTGTGAGTGACCTTCACAAGATGTCCCTACTGTGCTGAGCCCAAAGCAAACTGTGGAGTGTCCATTTTCAGAGACGGTTTGAAAAAGGATTGGGGGGGGCAGGGGGTGTAAACTCTCAGTGTTACAGTTTTAATGATAGAATTTTAGAAATGCTAATAGCCTTCAATGTATGTTTCCATTTACCAGGCTAACTCAAAGTTGTAACTCAAAATGTTAAATTGTAACTCTTGGATTGTTTTGTTTTGTTTCTTTTTTTCAAGGCTCTGACACCTAATCAACTTCTAGAGGTAAATATATTTTATTCTATCAAATATATTTTATTCTATCAGTCTATTGGGACTCCAAGAATATAACATCTAATGTCATTAAAAAAAAAACAGTTCATTCAGAAAACCACTGCACTCACCCAGTTCATCCTGACAAGACTACAGACACCTGTTAAACCCAAAACCAACCAGGCACATGAAAAGAGTTCTTTCCATTGACTCAGTTCATTGAGCTATAAAATGTCAAGGCAATGTCTTCTACTGCTGATTCAAGCAAGTGACCAGTGAGGGTTCAGAATAGAGGAAAAGAATAAAGAGTTTCAGGGACATGAGATAGATCCCGTTACTAATGAGATGCCACAGACTCGTAACATGTGAAATACTCCCACATCTAAACCCGAGTTTAGAGGCCTGCTTGTTTGTTTTTGAGACAGGGCTTTTCTACATAGTCCTTGGAGGCTGCAACTTACTATGTAGACCAGGCTGGCCTCAAATTCATAGCAATCCACCTGCATCAGCAGTGCTGGGATTAAAGGTGTGCACCACCATGTCTGGCCCAAAAGATGTTTCTTAATCAACTGCACATAATTCAGTTGTTTAACGAACTGTTTATTGGTTGGCAAGTTCCTTAGAGTGTCAGTTTATGAAAATATCACAGGAATCCTTTGAATATAATTACAAAAGATAAAACTAAAAAGTTCCATTTCTCTGTCTAAAACACACAAATATTTCTGAAATAGGAACATATTTCACAATGAATAAAATGCATGTTATTCTTTAAAAGCTATTAGTAAAACAAAACATTTTCATACTTAATAGTGTCTTAGAAACAGACATGCAGTATTCTCTTAAAGGTCGGGAAGCTGGGCCTCTAAAGTTTATGTGTACGAAATAAAATTCCCCAGGGTTTTAAAATACCAACTGGTTCAAGTCAATCTGAAGACTGTTCAAACGTATCATGAAGCCTAGAGCCAATTTCGGTCCAGGAAACTGTTTAAACATGGCAGTCCATTCCCCAAGATCAAATCTATACAACTCCAAGCACACTTTCACTAAGCGTGCCTCAGGGACCACTTCAGAGTGATTGCCAGTGACTAGGAAATCAGCCATGCACCTTTCCATCCAAGCCGAGCTGCAGGAGCATCGAGCAGCCAGTGATGGGAAGCTGGGTCCTGACCTCGCCTGTAGAGCTGAACCAGCTTCATAGCTCTGCTGAGTCCTCCAGCAGGGGAAACACAGACCCTGCCAACCTCTGAGGATAGTCTCTCCTTGGAGAATCTGACTCATTCGAGTTACCAGAGGCCTTAAGAAACCTGAACAATACTTAGAGAGCTGCCCAGTGTTTATTCATACCTCACACATACACTTCTCTCTCCTTCTCTGTCTCCCTTCTCCTTCCTTGCCTTCCTCACTACCCAGAGCACTGTTTATGCAAAAGAACTGCTGACATTGGCCAGTGTCCAGTCACTATTCCTACATATTCTAGAACAGGTGTTACACATAGAGGGTTCACCACTTAGACCAAGTCTTGAACAAGCTGCTGAGTTTTTAAGGAGGTTACAAAGCAACACATTTCCAGTGGAACAGCTGTGTAAGCAGATCCACAAGACAAAACACGTATTCATAGTTGTGCTGAAATAAATCATTCAACTGGACATTCACACCCATGACTGAGATGCCACGGCTTAAAGTGGACCAGAGTTCTTGAACTTTCTAACTTTTGAATACAGTAAATACAGTTAGAAAGTAGAGAAAATATTTTTAAATTAAAGAAATTTAAATATCTTCATTTTAAAATCTTATATAAATAAAATACAATTTTCAATGAAGCATTTACGTACAAAACATTTTAACAGACACACGTACTATGGTAAATATAAATCAGAAGACAAGCCCACTGAGAGTACTTACCATTTTCTTCTTTTACAGCTAATCACTTCTATTTTGAACCAACTGCAGGTAAATCTTTTTTGCATAAGCTACAAGCTCACTAACGAACTGAGGTTAGTATTTAATTTTTTTCTTTCTTCATTTTTAGGGTTTCCTTGGGGTAAGATTTTATTTCTGATTATATTGATAAAAGTGACATACAATGTCAGAGAAGGTAAGAGTAATCCCTCTAAACTACAAGGCATAAGATGGAATCAAACAAACTGATTAAGCCAATTACAACCCATGGGCTTCATGAATTCAGTTCCTAGACTGTTAGATATAAGTTTCTGCATCTCTAATGGTGAGTATCCTTTCACAAGGGGTTTTCACAAAATTTAAGATTATAGAAATCATCAGGCGTTGGTGGCGCACGCCTTTAATCCCAGCACTTGGGAGGCAGAGGCAGGCGGATTTCTGTGAGTTCGAGACCAGCCTGGTCTACAGAGCGAGTTCCAGGACAGCCTCCAGAACAATACAGAGAAACCCTGTCTCGAAACCCCCCCCAAAAAAAGATTATAGAAGTCAACACAATATTAGGTTGCAAACTTTCAAATAATTGTACTTTACCTGGGGCTCGCTTCTGTCTAATGGACAATCCCTGGTAACAGAATGAGAAAGGCCTTTTGTAAAATTACCAGACGTAGCTATGTCCTGACCTCAAGGCAATTTTCAATCCCACTGAGGGAAAAAAAAATGGGTTTTCACCCACTACCCTTCCTTGTAATAAGTTTCGCTGCCCTGGAATATTACTAGCATTTTTTTTAACCACTGTAACAACTTCCCCTCATCAGGCCCCACATGCCATGTGGAAGAAGAAAGTTTCTATGCTACAGACAAGATCATTAAGGATTCAGTTTTTCAGCATTTACGTACAACCAAAGCACAGGGTTTCCTATGCCAATCCCCCAGTCACACCAATATTAACATATCAACAACAAAATAACCATAAAATGGGAGAGGCTGGTGGAGGTATAGAAGGAACTCTGAAGATACCTCACATACTAACTGTAACTGTATTTTAACAGAAATAATTCTCACTGCTACATCAGAAGTCACACACGGTGAGCAAAATCCCAGAACTCTCCCATGAACTGTATGTATTTCTAAGAGTCTTATCACCAGTGTCTGTGTTAGTAAATTAATGGCATGATAAAGGCAAGAATTCAGAAGACCACTAACTACAGAGTGTGTTTCTCAAACATGTATTCTAACTGTATTTGAATGGGCTGGGGTGAGCTCAGTGGGAAGAATGCCTAGCATGTGTAAGTCCCTGCCTCCCATCTGCAGCACCACAATGGAATGAAATATAAGTGTACTTAGGAAAACATATGTATCACAGAAGTTCTGAATATATTAAAACTTATCATTTTAAACCCCAGTAGCCTTGAAAAATAGCTGGAATTTTCAAGTTCCCCTTTTATCCACTACATTTTTAACTTTTAAGATAACTATGACATTAAGTGAAATTAGGATAAATATTTATGTCTGAAATGTTTTCAAAAACCCAAGAGTGCCTGAGTCAGACAAATACTGACTGTGGCCATTATCCTCAGGTTAAGGAATTATGAAATAGACTGTCTTTGCCCCAAAATTGTGCACGATTTTAAACAAGCCAACCAGACAGAGCATTTAAATCCCATGCACTATCATGGCTCATATAAGTCCAGCTTATGTTCCAGAATTTGCATCACTATACACAGTATACTGTCTCCTGCAGGAGCAACTCAGTCAGAGCCTTGGTAGAGAACACAGTAGACACAGAGTACACTCTGGGACTAGGGAGACCGGGATCAAATATTAGCTCTGTCCCTTGGGGGTGAAGCTCTTGAGCAACCTTTCCAAATGCCTAATGCTTCATCTGTAAAATACCTGTGGGCGGAGTGATACAGTTAAGAGTTATCCAGTATTCCTACTGATTCTAATGTAGAAAACATTCCTCACACCAAAAACAGACAAGTATGGGGGAACCACCACTGACTACGAGCAGACATGAGCAAGAGGGGACCACCAGTGCCCGTGAGAAGGCACTCCCGACAGGAAGCTCGGAAGCCAGTGGTTTCAATGTTTTCTCTGTTGCAGGTGGTGCTGGGTATTGTCCGGGTTACCTGCTCTGTTATCTGCAGTTTGGAACGGTCTTACCATCTTGTACACTCTGTAAAAAGTTCTGTGAATCTTCAAACACCATAGGGATATCTATTATCTACAGACCACCTGCTCTAAATAAAATTCCCGCTAGAACGTCTGTGTGGATTTCAGTTCAAGTGTTCCGTGACTGCTCAGAGTTTCATGAGAACCTTTGAAAGCAGCAGCTCAGTCTCAGTGCTGGGCAGAGGTACTCTCTCCAAGGCAGATTCACCCAGTGTCTCCTGAGCAGCCATCCTTACCAGGTCCAAGCGGCTGTGACATACCCTCGGGCCGGGCATTTATGGGCTGTTACAAATAACTTGGTAAGAGAGTTCACCTTGAAATCAAACACCTCAGAGCTCCTCACTACAAAGGCTGCAGGCAGCTCAGCTCAACTCCGTCTACCACCGCAGGCAGGGTGCTGACAACATAGCCCCACCCACTTTGTCTTACCTTCTAGCTAGAGACAAAACTATCATATCCTCTTTCCCCACATGCGAGTCTCCAGAGGTTCCACTGGAGTCCAAACTCAATGAAGTAAGCATGAGCCTCTCATTCAGGCTGACTGACTAAAAGCTCCCTCCTGACCCTCTATTTCCCTTCTATGTCTATTGTCATGTAGTATTCACAGTAAAGTGACACCTCTAGAAATTGAGAATTTACCTGGGCATATTTTTTAATATTCTAAAAATGAGAATATGAACTTCTATTCTTAGTCTTTGATCTTTGACCACAAGAACACCCGAGACACAGTGAGGCTCTGCCTCAAAATAGATAGATAGATAGATAGATAGATAGATAGATAGATAGATAGATAGATAGATAGGTAGGTAGGTAGGTAGGTAGGTAGGTAGGTAGGTAGGTAGGTAGATACATAGATAGATACATAGATAAATGCCATAAGTGAAATTCCATTGTAAAATCGGTAACTCAGACTGGAGAGATGGCTGAGCAGTTACGAGCATTGGTTGCTTTTCCAGAATAGCATGGAGGTTCACAGCCACCTGTAAATCTAGTTCAGGGACTCCAATGCCCTGTCTGCCCTCCCCAGGCACAGTATGCACATGAAACCCAAAGGAAAGCAAGCAGTTTAAAGGGAGTCGGGCCAGACATTAACTGCACAGGAGAGGTGGCACCCGCCAAAAGAAGTCTAGCTCGATGGGCAGTGGGGAAAGCTAACAATAAAAAACAGAAACACAAGTCACCACAGGCTGGGTTTTATTTTATTGTAACTACAGATCTTCAAAGAACATTTGTTATTTAAATTTGTTCAGACATGCTTTTGTTCATACATACAAAATCTGGCGAGCTCTACTCCTTTGAGAAGAGAATTCAGCATTCCACTTCATCGTCCTGGCTCGTTTTACCTTGTTGCAAACATTTCCACGTGTCCTTTGCAGAGTGTTAGTTCTGTGTCTGCCTCTGCAGTGCTCCTAGATGGCTCCTGGCTTATGGGGACAAGCTATAGGCCGTGGCTGTCAGCAGCAGGGTCCTCACTCCAGTGTGCATCTCGTTTCTCTGCCACGAGTTTGATGAACTGAGAGTGGCTGGCGTATAGCTTGAGCTGGTCGCTGATATCAACCCACTTCACCTTCCCAGCGTCATCTCCAGCCTCCAGGGTGAGGTTGTCCATTGTTTCCCCTAGTTTCCAAAGAAACAGCACCAAAAAAGAGGAATTCGTTTATTCTGCTTTTATTCTCAATATAATTCTGTACTTTGAAATAGTCTTACTAAAAATAAGATTAAGCCGGGTGTTGGTGGCGCACGCCTTTAATCCCAGCACTCGGGAGGCAGAGGCAGGCGGATTTCTGTGAGTTCGAGGCCAGGCTGGACCGATAGCCTCCGAAACAATACAGAGAAACCCTGTCTCGTAAAAACCAAAAAATAAAAAATAAAAAAAAAAGATTAAATCATTGTTATTAGGTGGCCAAAGAATTAAAAGCCAGAATGTCCCAAAATGCCTGAATTTTAAGTGATTCAATACTAGATGAAAACCTTTCTCTTAAAGACTATTCTCCTTGAGAGAGATACCATGCTATACGAAAGCCTTTGCAAAAATAAATTCCAGCAGGATTACAGAGTTAAATATAAAAATCCTAAAAAGCAAATTTATAACTCATTTTGCACTTTTAAGTTATATAATTGAATTTCAAATCAGAAACTAGAATACATTATATTTATAGTTCTATTTATACATGTATAAATGCCATCACTGTTAGAAATGTAAATGACTCTTCCTACAGGATAAACTGTCAATATTTATTTTAGAAAATGAATTTTCCCTGATGAGCATATAATCAATAACTTTCAGAATACCTTATAGACCAGACTCTGCTCCAGGTGGAGAGTCATGGAGTTTAGAAGGCTGGGATGCAGCTCAGTGATCAGTGTCTGCCTAGCATACATGAAGCTCTAGACAAAATCCTAATGTTGGAAACAATTACACAAGGTGTGGTGGCTTACTGCAGTAATCCCAGCACCCAGAGAACGGAGGCAAGAAGATTGCCATCAGTTTAGAGCTAGCCTGGGCTACATAATGAGACCCAGTCTCAAAAAAAAAAAATGATCCAAAGGACACGAAGAGTAAACTATTCAAGGCAACACATGTGCATATTTTATGTATGTAGGTAAACATTTAGTGTTATATGCTACCTTCCTTAATTTTTATTTATTTCTATGTGCATGGGCATTTTACCTGCATGAATATCTACGCACCATGCGTGTGCCGGGTACTAGAAGAAGACACTAGATTCCTGGAACTGTAGTTACAGACACTCCTGAGTCACAACGAGGGTGCTGGGAGTTGAACCTAGATCCTCTGCAGGAGCAGCTAGTGCTCTTAACTGCTGAGCAATCACACCATGTCTCATTCTTAAAAATGGACTGAATCAAACTTGTCAGCTTTGTGACATGGGTGAAAAAATGATGGAAATATACAATGGAGTGTCACAGTCACTAAACATGAAGGTGATTGGGCCTGACATGGTAGCCCATGACTGTAATCCCAGAATTTGGGAGTCAAAGGCAGAAGGATTGCCCAGGAGTTTGTGGTCAGACTAAGCTATACAGTGAGCTCAGAAAAGCATGGGTTACAGAGTGAGCTCAGGACAGCCTGAACTACAGAGTGAGCTCAGAACAGCCTGGGCTACAGAGTGAGCTCAGGACAGCCTGAACTACAGAGTGAGCTCAGAACAGCCTGGGCTACAGAGTGAGCTCAGGACAGCCTGGGCTACAGAGTGAGCTCAGGACAGCCTGGGCTACAGAGTGAGCTCAGGACAGCCTGGGCTACAGAGTGAGCTCAGGACAGCCTGGGCTACAGAGTGAGCTCAGGACAGCATGGGCTATGTAGCAAGCCTCTATTTCCAAAAACTAAAAACAAAGACCAATCATAACTAAGGCAAGCCCATATCCATGGTCATCAAGCAGCCATATTATGCTTTTAAGTGAAATGCCAAGCAACAGAGCAGAACACACAGCCCGAGCACCTTTTATCTTATTTGTGAAGCTACACAAGGTTTTTCGAGAAGCCAAGACAAGCTGGGAATCGAATGTGGTGATTTATATTTTCTTCATTACGTCATCTATTCTCTAAGTTCCAATCATTTTACCTACATAAAAACTAGCAGTACAGTAGGAAAGCAGAAGTCCTTCTTAACGGACACAATGCTTTGGCCACAGGCTCTAAGTGCTAGCACTAGCATCCCAGCCCTACATCTGCCCACACTCCAGCGACCCACACCCTCACAGACTGAACACACAGCTGCCGTGAAGCTAAAGCAGCGGTCCCCAACCTGTGGCTCACGACCTGTTTCACAGGGGTCACCTAAGATGATCAGAAAACTGAACCTACACTACAGTTCATAGCAGTCACAAAATTACAGTTTTGAAGTAGCAACAAAATAATTTTATGGCTGGGGGGCGCCACAACATGAGGAACTCTACTGAAGGGCTGCAGCACGGGGAAGATGAAGAACCACTGATTACCTCAGCACAGTCCTCAAGCATGCTGTGCTTTATCTGAGTATCTAGACTTCCTTTTACTCCTCTGATCACTTGATTAATATTTAAATACATACACAGTTTGACAGCCACCTCTCCCGCTTCCAAGAGAAGAAAGCTGAACTGAAAACAAACAGTTCTCAGACCCACACTGCCCTCGGGTAGAAAATCCCCTGTCACAGCAGGGAAAGGGAAACAGTAGTCAGTCTGGAGCACATGTTTACCTCCCTTGTGTACAATTATTTTATCAACAAAGGATTCCACTGTGGGCAAACCTCAGACCTTACCTGGAAGTCTCCTAGAGATGCCCAAAGATGTGAGGAAGATGAATCAGTAGGACTGAGGACAGAGGCCTAGTACCCACAGGTCTACCAGGCTTAATTCCTTTTGTTAGATAAACCATGGCCAGTCTATATTGGCAAACACCAGAGCCAAAGACTGGGAACTTATGAGCAGTTTTCTTTTTACGGAGAAAGATCAACCACCCATCAGATATATAACCCACCTTCAATCTTTGGAGAAAAGGCTATTTTGTTTTTAGCCTCACAAATAAATAATGAATCTTGTACAGTTAGACTAGAAACCCTGTTCTAAGCTCCAATTGCACACATCTGCCTTCTGAATTCTCCACTCAGGGATGAACTCTGCTTGGTCTAGTTGGAACTGCCGAACAGAAAAGGGAACTGTGCTGGAGTTTCCCAAGGCCAAGTAAAGGCAGAGTGAAAGGAGACCTCTCAGTCTGCACAGCTGGTCCAAGGACAAGTGATTAGCATAGGAGCAGGCAGCTCAGTGAAGACCAGAGGAACATGGAGTTCTCTCGGAACATAGCCTCATTTCATTACTCCTCAAATGAATGCCAAATGCTTAAAACACCACTCAGCTTAGCAAGAAAGGATGTTCTGAGGAGTGAGGCGATGCATAAAGATCCTAAGTCATTCTGAAGACAGCAGGCTCCCTCCTCTTCTGCAATAACAGACTGTCTCTCCCACTAAGTCCTAAGCCACACACTCAACAACACACACTTATTACAAAAACATCAATCCCTGGGCTGCTGCACCAGGATGGCAATACCTCACAGAGCAAGATAAATGTATACGCCATTTCTTACCTCATCAGCCA